TTCTGTTCTTCCCTCCCAAACCTCTGCTCCGGCATTCCTCGTGTCTAGCGGTGGCCACTCCATCCTCCCAGTTGCTCCAACCAGAGCCCTTCAGAGTCTTGCTTGACTCCTCTCGGACACCCCCTCTGCAAATCCCTTGGGCTCCACCTGCAAAATCTATCCAGAAGCCAACCGCTTCCACTGCTCCCACACTGGTCTTGGCCACCACCACCATCTGTCACCCGGATCTCTACGGTAGCCTCCTGACGAGGCTCCCTGCTTCCTTCCTTGCCCACACAGTCTGTTCTCAACACAGTAGCCAGAGGGAGCCTGTTGAAATCTAAGTGGGATCACATCACTCAGCTGCTGAAACCCTCCTGTTCCCTGTGGGGGCTGACACTCTGCTCTTTGTTCCCCTATGGCCTCCTCTGCAGCCACACTGCTGTTCCTAGAGCATACCAAACTCACTTCTGCCTCAGGACCTTTGCACCGCTGTTCCTGCACTGATCTGCTTCCCCTAGATTCCGCATGACTAGCTCCTTTGCTTACACCTTCTTGGAATTCTTCCTGAGATGTCACTTTCCCACAGAGACCTTCCTGACTACCCTGTTTAAAATTGCAACACCCCAGCCCCCTCAGCCCCCATCCTTCTCTGCTACTTTCTTTTGCTCCGTTGCACCTGTCACCAGCTAACATCCTGTGCATTTTATGTATTTATTTTCTTGTTTGTGCTGCTCCCCACCATTAAAATGTAAGTGCCGTGAGGGCAAAAATTATGTCTGTTTCTTTCATAAGTGGATTCTCAGGGTCTACAACAGTGCCTGGCATGTGTAGCTGTTAATAAATACTTGTCAAGTGAAGGACTAGAGCCAAAGCTAAGAGAGATTATATAACTGAAATGCCACCCTCCGAGAGCCCTGCTGGGGGTGGCACCAGAATGTGAATTTGGCTTTTAATTCGGGGTGGGGGTGGAGGAAACCTGGAGGAGACCTCAAACAGGAAACGGCTCTTACAGCCTGGGTCCCAGGGAGGGACAGCATGGTGAGGGCTCCTGTTAGGAGAAGCAGGGAGCAATGTGGTCAGAGTTTGTGCATTTAGTAACAAGCAGGAAATTGCTGCATGATTTTGAACAAGTCAGGTCTCATCCTGGAGCCTCGGTGTCCTCCGTGGGCCAGCAAGGGGATGTGAATGGTGGGTCTCTAAGTGCTTCTCCTGCTACCGTTCCCAAAGTTCAGCCCTTTCTCACTGGGCACATGGCGGCCTCTGGGCAAGTGTCCGCTTCCTTCCGGCCTGGCTCCTCCCTACCCCTGTACCACTCGCTGTTTTGGCACCAGCAGGAAGTTCTGGGCTGGTTGGTGTGTGCCCGGGAGGAAATGACAGGAGGTAGGCTGAGAACTTTAGGCTCACCTGGCAGGCGGGCAGGAGGGGAGGGAGGCCTGGTTGCGGGGTCTGCTTGTGGGGAGTCCACGCCCACGGTTCCTGAGGGGGACTCTTCTCCAACAGCCCCCAGCCCAGCATCCCTGGGTACCCAGCTCCCTCTGGCCCTGGCACCAGTTGCACGAGGACAGCCCCAGATGGCTCCCTGGCCCCGGGGACAAAGGCCACACTGTGCCCGGCCTTGGGCTGGCCTCGGGCTGGGTCACACTGAGCCCTTCTGTCCCCGGATGGGGGTGAGGGGCAGACAGCAACAAGGTGACAGGCCTTTTTCCTGTCCCCCTTCCCCCCTTGACCCCCCAAATCTGAAGAGCTGATTCTCTCAAGAGAAAAGTGACAGAGGCATCTTATGTCTTGAGCGAGGGAACAACAGGGAGCATTCACTACGCGGTCTGCCCTGTCACACCCAAGACCCTGCCGGGTTCAATGCCCCGATTGTCCCCAGCAGAGCGAGGCGTCCACTCTCTGCTGTGGTCACCACCCCTGCCGCCTGCCTCGCTGTCACCGCCAGTAAGTCCGTCCTTACATCTGACCTCCGTCCCTCCTGCTCTTCCTCTCGGTCTGTCTCGCGTGGGTGGAGGACAGCACGTCCCCGCCCCTCGGCATCGCCTGGCCCTGCGTTCCTGCGTGAGCAGCCGTCCTCGGCGTCACCTTCTTTCTAGCTACCCAGGCCACCCTCCGTCCCACCCCAGACCTAAGGTGGTGGCTCCTTGCTCCTGACTGAACTGAGGGGACAGCACGAGCAGGGGCCACTCAGGGCTGGTTCTCTTTTGTTTTGCAGAAATCGGGGGCCTCCCTCCTAGAAGGCTTCCAATGAGCCCCCCTCCCCCACAGGCAAGAGCAAGGGTGGAAGATTTATGGCAGCTACTGGTGGATTCCTGAACACAAACCCAACATGCCATCCCATAAATCCCAGACTGCTGGATGGCTTTATGGGGGAGCCCTGTTTTTAGAAAGGGGCGTGACTAGTCCCTCTTGGCAGAGCTCAGACCTGAAGGAGCCAAGTGCCTGGCTCCCCCCTACAGCCCTAGGCTAACCGTGACCGAGCCTGGGGCATCAGTCTGCAGGGCAGACGTTTCTTCCCCTGTGTGGTGGTGGATGGGGGTGGGTATGGTGGGGGTTCTGCTGCTCCACTCGGCCTGCCTTCTGTCTTCTGCCTCCCTGCACCTCCCCAGCTCAGAGGATTCCCTGTCTCAGCACAGTAGGGCAACCTGGAATCTTGGGTGGATTACCATCCCTTACCTAGACCTCAGATGCTTCTCATCGTGGCTCCATGTCCAGATCACTGGGGATGCTTTTTTTTTTTTTTTAAGATTTTATTTATTTGTCAGAGAGGGTGGGGGGCACAAGCAGGGGGAGCGGCAGGCAGAGGGAGAAGCAGGCTCCTTGCTTAGCAGGAAGCCTGACGCGGGACTCGATCCCAGGACCCTGGGATCATGACCTGAACCGAAGGCAGATGCTTAACCAACTGAGCCACCCAGGTGCCCTGAGGATGCTTTTTTTAAAAATTCATTTTCCCAGTCACCATCCTCAGTTCCAGACTCTGAGAGTGAGACGCAGGAATCTGAAATTTTTAAAAATACTCCCTGGTGCTACTGATGTTCAGCCAACTTTGTAAACAACTGACCTGTCCAACGGGGACATCTCCACTCTCCTGTCCTGCTGGGAAATGTGAGGCAACAGGTAGGACACATCTAGGTCCTCCTGTCCCTGGAACCCATATGCTGCCACTGTCACGAAGCTTCCGTTATGTGACAGGCTCTGGCCCCTGGCTGGCCGCACACTCCAGGGTAAGGCGGGGTGACTGCCCGCTGGGAGCTTCGCGTCCACCTGTGCGTCCTACAGACCGCGGCCCCAGAGCGCAGGCGGCCAGGGAGGAGCGGCGGAGGTTGGAGGGCAGGAATGAGCTTAGAGACGGGGAATCCGGAAAGTCCGAGGTGCTGGGCTTTGCCAAGGAAGCTGGAAGAACAGTTTCTGGTACCTTCTCCTCAGAGGAGGCATCAGCAGCCCCTGAGTTCCTGGAGAATAGGGACCGCACTTCACTCCCCCCCGTGACCCCAGCACATAGTAGCTACTTGGTGCTCACCTGTCAACTGAATGAACCAAGTGAGACTCCAGGGCCCAGCGGACAGAGATGGGCTCAGCTGGCGCCAGCCGGAGAAAAGAGGACCTGGCCGCCCCCCTACCCCCATCCCATCCACTTCACCGCCCCCTCAGCTCTGGGCTCAGGAGCCTGCTGGCCCAGGGAAGGGACCCTCTCCAGGCTGGCTGAGGAAAGAAGGATGACCAGGAAGCAAAGCAAACATGTTATGACCCAGAATCCCTTAAACCAGGGGGATTCAGGAGGGGTCTTTGGCAACAGGGAACTGGCTAGTGATTGAGAATGGGCTGTGCCGGGTGCTCGGGTAAAAGCTGGGAGAGGGTGCAGGGTGGCCCTCTCCCATCACAGGACCGGCCCTGCATGCCTTCTTGGCAGGCGTCGGTGGGGCGCTTGGGAGGCCTCCTGGTCCCTGCTCCACCAGGGAGGTGTGGGCAGAGCAGGGCGAGGGGCAGCCCCACCTGGGAACTTACGAAATCATGGAGGGGAGTGGCGGGGCGGGGGTGTTTCAGGGCAAGATACAGAAGGAAGGGTCTGCAGGAAGAAACAGTCTAACTGCATGGCCAGCAGGGTACCCCCTCAGAGGGCACAAGGGCTGGGGAGCCCCAGGGAGGGAACCCTTTCTGGCTCGGGAAGGGGCCTTGAGGTGAACAGAGCAGCCCACCCTTCTCCCCCACTGCGTTCTCTGCGGTGTGGACACCCGGCCCCCTCGGGGCTCTGGTGTGAGAGGAGCTCAGCCCCCCGTCCCTGCGGCCCTCGTTTTCTGGCAAGCTTCTGTGTGTCCCCTGAGACCTTCAGCTGCTCCTGACCTCCCACATTTCAGCTGGAGAGATGGGGTGGGGCCAGCTCAGAGGCACACGTCCCTTCCCTTGTCCCTTCTCCTTTTCTGGGCCCCAGGGACCTAGGACAAGCCAGAGGGGGACCTCCAGGTGTCAGTATGAGGATGAAGTGGGGTTTGGACCAGACTGTAACAGGGCCGCAGGCCGAGCTGATGTTCAGCTTCTGGGCGTTAGTCAGTGAGGCTTACTGGCTGTTGACATACTCAAGCTCTTACACACAAGTTGGTGAAGAGCTATTGGCCCGAGTTCTGGTCCCCTCCCTGCCACTCCAGGCCTCTTGAGAATTCTGTAGACCTCCAGGAGCCCAAAGGTTACCGTCTGGCCTGGTGAGGCCCCCAGGACCCTGCCAGCACGCCACACTGCTATTATGAGCAGCACTTCGCTATACTGCTTAGTACATAGTGTGACTACCTCCCCAGGGCCGGGGCGGGGTGGGGGTGGGGGGTTCTGGGGGCCCGGGGGAGCGGGATTCACAGGGAGGAAGAGGGCTAGGTCCTGGAACCTTGGTGAAGAAGATGCAACCCTGGCTCCCGAATGCGGGGCCCCAGAGCTCGATGGACAGACGGAGACCAAGACCCAGAATTCGCATCTGCTGTCAGCCCAGCCTGGTGCCTGGTTCTCACCCGCGCTGCTCCCCTCTCCCGTCTCAGGCCCCACTGCCTGGTACCCGCTGACCATGAACAAGATGAAGAACTTTAAGCGCCGCCTCTCCCTATCCGTACCGCGCACCGAGACCATTGAGGAGTCCTTGGCCGAGTTCACAGAGCAGTTCAACCAGCTCCACAACAGGCGCAATGAGGGTGAGGGGTCCGGCCGCCCCCCGCCCCACCCTTGATGCCCCCCACAGCCCCTCCTGGCCCTCCCTGACCCGGCCCACACTGCTGGGGGAGGACAGAGGTGGGGCGGCAGACTCCCTGCCCCCCCCTACCTCCTCCTCCCCCCTGGGGCAGAGGGACAGGGTGGGCAGCTGATGCCTCTCCCTCTCAGACCTGCAGCTCGGGCCTCTTGGCAGAGACCCCCAGCCAGAGTCCAGCACCTTCTCCCCGACAGACAGCGGGGAGGACGCTGGGCAGCCGTCCCCTGGCATGCAGTACCGGCGGCAGAACCGGCGCCGCTTCTCCATGGAGGTGAGGGGCTCTGGGCTCTCCCCTGTGGGCGCGGCAGGACACACCGGACAGTGTGTGCCCAAGGAGGGTGGCGGCCTGGGAGCCAGACTTCATGGGTTCAGATCCCAGCTCTGCTGTTGATCAGATCTGTGACCTTGAGCAAGTGTCTCAACCTCTGCATAGCGGTCTCCTTGTGTTAAAATGGTCATCGTGAAGATTAAACAAGTTAATATATACCAAGTGCCTAGAACAGTCCTGGTACAAAACGACGCCAGACGATTTGACTACTGTTCTTATGACTCGTCTGCATGGGTCCACGTATAAGAAAAATAGGCTTCCATCCGTTGGAATCTCATTCTATAGATGGTTATACTGCAGCCCAGAGAGGGGAAGGACCTCCTGAGGTCACACAGCAACCCCTGCGCGTTCACATATGTCTCTGAGCACATCTTTGAAGCAGCTGTGAGCCTGGGGTCACAGCCCATGGTTTGGCCCTGCTGGGGTTGCTCTACAGGGAAAGCCAGGCCCTGGGTGAAAAGTGAGGGTCCCACAGCACGAGGTAACATGGAGCAAACACGGGCGTCCCCGTCTCATCCCGGCCACTGCAGGACATCAGTAAGAGGCTGTCTCTGCCCATGGACATCCGCCTGCCCCAGGAATTCCTGCAGAAGCTACAGCTGGAGAGTCCAGACCTGCCCAAACCGCTCAGCCGCATGTCCCGCCGAGCATCCCTGGTGAGTCCCAAGAGGGTCAGAGGTCACCAGGGGAGACCCTCCGCCCCCAGCCTGGACACATCAGTTCGGGTTTGCCTGTACGGACGCCTGCAGCAGTTTGTGGGCCTCTGGCGCCACCTGCTGGCTTCAGCCAATTCGCAAGCTTATAGTCCTTGGTCAACGTCCACTCCCCCAGGTGAGTCCCACCAGGGCTGGAGCTGAGCCCCAAGCCCTCTCTGGGCCCCCACAGTTTCCACTGCGGTGAGACCCATAGACCAGCTGACATGTGCTTTCCAGTCATGGCTGCTTATCATATTTCCTTGGGAGCATCTTGCAAAACGTGGACTCTGGCCCCCACTCCAGATACCTACAGAAGCAGACTCTGGGTGGTGGGGCCCAGGAGTCTATATTGTTAAGGGTCGGGTACCACTGAGCTAGAGGAAGTATGCTGAGGAGAGAGACTGCCGGGGAGGCTGCTTCTGAACTTGAAGTACATTTGAGAACAAGACACAGTTTCTGCCCACGAGGAGCTAGTAGTCTGAGCAAGGTGGAGACAGACAGGTGTTGAAGGTGTGCGGCAATCCCAGGTGCCCCAGCCCTGGCTCCGCCCCCTCCACTCCAGGGGAGGAAGAAACTCATACCTCCTAGGGTTCCTTCCTTTCTCCTGGGGATAGAGGGGAGAGGCCAAGAGGCAGGACTTGTGGCTGCCCTCATCCCTGCTAGGCTCTGTTGTTGCCTCTCCCTGATGGGGGTCTCATTCGCTTCCCTCCTGGAGGCTGTCTGTGGGGTATTGTGTATGTGGGGCTGTGGGGCCTTCAGGCTCACAGGACCCTATGTCTCTCCCTCTCAGTCAGATATCGGCTTTGGGAAACTGGAAACATACGTGAAACTGGACAAACTGGGGGAGGTAAGAGGCTGGGCGGGACAGTGAGGAGCAGGGACAGGGACTCCCCTGCCCACCCTGTCCTGCCTTCCCATCGCCCCTGCCCCGTAAAGGCGTACTGTCTTGGCCGTCCAATCTGGCCCAGCCTTTTGCAGGTGTTGAGGGAGGCCCAGGTCTTGGAGGAGGGCATGAGGATGGAGTGGGGCCCGTGGGCTCTGGGCATAATCCAGTTTGTCTGTCTGTCTGTTTTTCCTGCAAGTGTTTCTCTGGATTCAAATCCCGTCTCTACCATTTACTAGCTGTGTGGCCTTGGGCAAATGATGGGACCTGTCTGTGCCTTAGTTTCTTGCTCTGTCAAATGGAGGTGTAACGGCTGTGTCTCCTAGGGCTGTCGTGAGGATGGACTAGGTTACTCTAAGAAGCTTGCGTACATGCTTAGACTGTGCCTGCCGCAGAGTAAGCGCTGTGGGCCGTTAGCTATTTCTGTTCCCACTGCGCCACGCTTTGTGTCAGGGCCCTGGGGCGGCCGAAGGTTTCCAGACAGGAGGAAGACACGGCCCTCTCCCTCCAGGAACCCAAAGAGGAGACCTACCTGTAAACATCAACATAAGGAAGAACAAAACTGTTATAATAGAGGGGCACCTCGCCTGCTGGGGGCTCGGGGGAGGACAATTCATTGTGAACAGGGAGGAGTGAGGGACAGAGTCAGAGAGAGATGGGCCTTGGAGCAAACACAGACTCTCAGTGAAAGGAAAAGAACGGGGAAGGGCACAGCGCAAGCAGAGGCACAGAGAGGAGGGCGCTGGACAGAGGGTCGTGGGCCCTGAGTGTGGCTGGTGCTGCCGGGGTTCTTGTCCCCAGGGTACCTATGCCACAGTCTTCAAAGGGCGCAGCAAGCTGACGGAGAACCTTGTGGCCCTGAAGGAGATCCGGCTGGAGCATGAGGAGGGGGCGCCTTGCACTGCCATCCGAGAGGGTACAATACCCTAGGGTCCTGAGCTCCTGGGGCTCCTGGGAGGAGGGCTTCATTGACCTGAGCCCCAGTGGGAGCCTAGGGGCAGAGGGTCATTGCTGGAGTGGGGGCTCCTAGGGCTGATCCCAGGAAGAGAGGGTATGAGGGGTGTGTGGGGCCCCAGGGACCCAGGTGGGCCTGTCGCCCCCTACAGTGTCTCTTCTGAAGAACCTAAAGCACGCCAATATTGTGACCCTGCATGACCTCATCCATACGGAGCGGTCTCTCACCCTGGTGTTTGAGTACCTGGTGAGTTGGGCTGGGGCTAGCAGCTTCTTCCCTCTGTGGTGGGGGTGGGGGCAGCGTGGGGGGCAGCCCAGGCCTTGTTCTAGAATCAGGTTCTCAGATGCTCCCATGCAGGAGTGGGCCCCGGGGGTTTAAAGGCAGCTCAGACCTTGGGCCCTGCCTGGGGAGGGGCTTCCAGCCAGGGGTCAAGACACGTCGGGGCTGAGCCAGGCTCTGTGTTCCAGGACAGTGACCTGAAGCAGTATCTGGACCACTGTGGAAACCTCATGAGCATGCACAATGTCAAGGTGAGGGCCTCCGTAAGGACCGCCTACCCTCAGGGGCCCCATCTCGGTCCCCATCTGTTCTCAAGCCCAGCATGGGAACCCACTCTCACCACCAGGGTCCCAGCTGCTGAGGTTGCTCAGACCTGCAAAGGTATGAGGGTGTGCAAGGTCACTGTCATTCAGGGAATACCGGGAACTGTGCTAAGCGCCCTGCCCCACCAATGTGGACACACACCCTCTGCCACCATCTAGCTGATGATATAAAATCCCCTCTCCAACTCTGAGCATCAGTTTTCCCATCTGTCAAATGGGTACATGGATGAAAGTAGGCTTCTGAAGAAGCTTGAAGGGATGAATGGCCCCTTCTGGTCATTGTGAAAGAACCAAGTGCATAGCTCCCCACCCCGGTGGGCTTCCTGGCCCTGCTTGGCCCCCCTCAGCTCCCGGACCGGAGAACGCTCTGGCCTCCAGCACCCTGCTGCCTCTGCCGCACACCTGGTGCCCTCCCCTGTGGATGGGATTCCCCGGGATGGATGGAGCGCAGCATGGGTGGAGAACGGGTAGCTCCCCAACGACCTCACCGCCCCTCCCAGGCATGGGGCAGAAGCACAGGGTCTCCCAGGTGGGATACACTCTCACCTTCCCCTGCTCACCTTTCTCGTCCCATCCTCCCTCAGATTTTCATGTTTCAGCTGCTCCGGGGCCTTGCCTACTGCCACCGCCGAAAGATCCTGCACCGGGACCTGAAACCGCAGAACCTGCTCATTAGTGAGAGGGGGGAGCTGAAGCTGGCTGACTTTGGTGAGGGCCGGAGCCCACCGGGGCCAGGGGACGGGTCTGGCACGGTCTCCTAAGGAGGTGGGTGCTGTGGGAGAGGGAGTTGGGAGGCTCAGTAACATGTCTGTCCCCAGGACTGGCCCGGGCCAAGTCAGTGCCCACGAAGACCTACTCCAATGAGGTGGTGACCCTGTGGTACAGGCCCCCTGATGTGCTGTTGGGGTCCACAGAGTACTCCACCCCCATTGATATGTGGTGAGTAAGCACCATGGGACCAGGGTGAGGGGGGTTTCCACACCCCCACCTTCCCTTTTGCTGCCCCAAGGCCCTCTGCAAAGAACTGCCTAACCTCCTGCCTAACTAGAAGCCAGGTGACATCCTCCTGCAGTAACTGGATGTGAAAGAATTAAGTCTGGAGTACGTTAGAGTTCCCCTGGCTCTAAATAGACCCTCCAAGGCTCTGCTTCTGAAATACTCCCCCAGGGATCCCGAGGAGGTTACCAGAGGGTACAGGAGGACTGCCACAGTAAATATGATGAATCTTCCCCAAGCATCATTTCTACTGAAAATTTTGGAAAGGATTTATTACTTTTGTGTTAAAATTAACGTGCATATGATTTGCTATAGAATGAAAAAAATCAGCCCAATTTTTAAGCAGAAACCCAGGTTTCTGATGAATGATCACTGTGTTCTGTGCTAGGGGGTCCCCAAGAGAATGGATTTATGGACTTCCCTCTTCCTGTGGGGGCAGAGTTTGAGATAGCGCTGCTTGAGGAACTGGCACATGGGTGCAGACCCAAACTCTACGGGCTGAGGGGAGAGGCTAAAGCGCCCTAGAGCCCAGAGGAGCCCCAGAGAGAGGCCCCAGTGGCGGACTGGGCTGTGCAAGTCTCCCCTGTCCTGGGCCACCCCACCCGGGGCCAGGACCCTTGCAGCCACCACGGCCAGGGCATCACTGGTGCCCCGGTGGAGCAGTCCTAGGAAGGGCGGGTGCGAGGAGGCCCAGCCTGACGCCGCCCCTGCGCATTGCTCCCCGCAGGGGCGTGGGCTGCATCCACTACGAGATGGCCACGGGGAGGCCCCTCTTCCCCGGCTCCACGGTCAAGGAGGAGCTGCACCTCATCTTCCGACTCCTGGGTTAGTCTCCGGCCGTTCCCTCCCGTTCGCCACCAGGAGGCGCCAGAACTCCTTCCAGCCCTGGCGCAGAAAGGGACGGGGAAGAGGGGCTCCCACTCGCTCTCAACGGGGCAGCGACCCCTGTGGTCTCCGCCATTCTCTGCCCCCACCTCCTTCACTGCATCCTTCCCAGTCGCCCGTGGCCCTGGCCCCTCACTCTGCCCTTCCCACGCCCTCTCATCTCCCCAGGGACCCCTACGGACGAGATGTGGCCCGGCGTGACCGCCCTGTCGGAGTTCAGAGCCTACAATTTCCCGCGGTACCTCCCGCAGCCGCTCATCAGCCACGCTCCCAGGTAGCCCTGGCGCCCCACACCTCCTCTCCTGCTCGCGGCCCCCGCCGTCCCTCCTGGAGGTGGCCACGCACAGCCCTGGCCCCTGGCCCTCCCACCGAGGCCAGGCCTGTGTCAGCTCCTTCGTCCTGCAGGTTGGACACTGACGGCATCCACCTCCTGACCAGCCTCCTCCTGGTGAGTGTGCCCCCAGCTGGGCCCAGGGACAGGCAGCCGGAGAGCGAATAGCGCTGAAGCCCCAAGACCCCACCTGGGCCCTCCGCCCACCTCTGTGCTCACAGCTCATGCTGTCCCCCATATTCCTCCCCGTCGCCCCACCCCCGGGGCCCAGGAGGAGCGCTGGTTTCCACACGGCCGTGGGAGCGGGCACACTCTGAGCTCAAGCCCACTTACTAGCTGTGTAGCCTTGGGCAAGTTATAGAACTTTCCTGGGCTTCCGTTTCCTCCACTGCAAAGAGGAATTAATAATTCGTATTTTATAAATGGGTCACGAGGACAAATTGAGATTATGGAACACAGTATGGTGCCTGTCTTGAAGGAAGCGCACAGGGCAGTCGCTGGTATGACATGTTACTGTTGTTAATGTTATGGCCATGGTGGCTTTAGCCTCTGTATTTCCATCCCAAGAGGAGGTCACTCTCTGGAAGTCCCAGTTTGGGTTTTCTCTCGGTGGCTGGAGGCCTGGGAGCCGAGCCCGCAATCGGCCTCGGGCTGGCTTGGGGGTGGGGGCTGGCAGCGGCCCCCGCAGGCTCCTGGGTTAGACTCGGGCCCCTCTCGTTCTGGCCGTCTAACTCAGTGTAGGGGTCGCACCGCACACAGGGGTCCCCGGAGTCCCCCAGCCACGGCCCCATAGCCCACCCTGTACCTTTCAGTACGAATCCAAGAGCCGTATGGCCGCAGAGGCAGCCCTGAGCCACCCCTACTTCCGGTCTCTGGGAGAGCGCGTGCACCAGCTTGAAGATAGTGAGTATCGGGGGAGGCTGGGGGAGGGGCCGGGGTCGCCCCGGACCCAAGACGGGGGCGGCCGCTGTGGGCGGAAGAGCTGGGACGAGGGGCCCAGCAGCCTGGGGGCCTCCCCTCCCCCCCTCGGGTTCCCGTCTGTGCCTCAGCGGCAAAACTGTGGGATCTGGGAAGCCACCTGCAAGGCCCAGCTAGGGGCTCCTGGGCCAGCCCTGAATGAAGGGGTTCCCCAGCCAGCGGGCGCTCTGTGGGCGTGGGGGCCCCCGTGGGCTTGGCTCTCTCCCTACCTTTCTCCTCTCTCCCCACAGCGGCGTCCATCTTCTCCCTGAAGGAGATCCAGCTCCAGAAGGACCCGGGCTACCGGGGCCTGGCCTTCCAGCAGCCAGGTAGGGGCTCGTGCCTCCGCCACCCCCTCCCCTAATTAGGGGAGACCAGGGCAGGCTGCTCCTCCCTCTTGAACAACAGAGTGAGGAATCAGCATGCCGCCCTCCCTGACATTGGCCTCCCTGGGGGAGGGGGGGGCCCATGGGGAGCAGGGAAGGAGCTGGATTCCCTATCTCCTGCCCAGGCTTCCTCCCTCCAGTGTGCCCCTTGTCAGCCCCCAGCCCAGACACAACGCTGCATCTGACAGAGCCCTGAGGAAGGGGCACACTCTCTGGGCTACGTTCTGTCTGCAAACCCTGAATTCTCTCGCCTCCATTCCGGGGGAACCATACTTTGACTCTAGAACAGCTGAAGGCCTCAGATGTGACAAGTGTGTTATTTCGTATAATCCTAAAACACCCCTTGAAGTTGGTACCTTGTGTGTGTGTGTGTGTGTGTGTGTGTGTGTGAATTTTCAGTAATCCCTACACCCAATGTGGGGCTCAGACTCAGGACCCCAAGATCAAGCATCACAGGCTCTGGCAGAGCCAGCCAGGTGCCCTGAAATAGGTACTATCCAGGCTCCCCATTTCGTAATCAATGGATCTGAGGCACAGGGGAGGTTAGGTCACAATTTCACACAGCTGGTAAGTAACCGAGTTGGGATTTGAACCCAGGACCGACTGGCTTCCGGGAGCAGAATAGCCCTGGAGGACGCCCTTCGCTCCTGGTCCCCGGGACACCCTGCTGCCCAGCCTCCTCTCTGCAGCCCCACCCCTTCCCCTCCGTTCTCCAGGCCGAGGGAAGAGCCGGAGGCAGAGCATCTTCTGAGCCGTGCCCACCCTGCTGCGGCCCCAGGAGCCCCAGGGACGAGAGGTCACAGCGAGCACAACGGCACAACGGCGGGCAGGATGGGGCCTGCGTGGCCCTGGGAGGACTGAGGAACAAGGGCTCATGGCTGGCCCAGAAGACCTCTTGGCAGCCATGCTGGCCACGGCTGTTTCCTCTTCCTGCTTCCCACAAGTCTCCCCTGTGGCCTTCACCTCGACACCAACCCCTCTGTCGTCAGCCCTGGAGCTGGGCTTGAGCTGCTTTCCTGGGGAGAGATGAGGAGGAGGGGAGGGGGGGACCGCAGACCCTTTCCCACCCTTAGGTGCTTGGGCACCAGCGTGGGACCCACACAGATGGGAGAATCCAGGTGCCAGGCTAGGCACTGTGCCCCGAACGTGGGCACCACCGTACGTCCCGGCCAGGGGCTGCCTGCCCACACGTCACTCACTTGCTTCCCCTCTGAGAGCAGGAAGCTCGGGCCACCTTGTCTAGGACCCTGGAATCCTGGGTGCCCATGTGTGTGCCAAAGCCCACCCCCCACCTGAAGGGCAGGTGTCCCTAGAGCAGCAGAGAAGGGGAGCCCAGCCCTACTTCTCCACATCCTCACCCTGTCGCCATTCCCCTCTCCTGGCCAGAGGCCCCGTATGCTGCTGGATGCCCAGCTGAGTCCAGAGGTGGCCAGTCCCACCAGCTGCACTCCCGCCACCTCAGCTGGCTCCTGCCCATCCCCCCATTCTGAACGGGATTGCCTTAAATTGGCAGGTGGTAGAGCACTCACTGCCCTTGGAGCTCTAACCCAAGCTCCTACCTGTCCACCCTTTCCCGAAAGTAGCTCCTGCTTATCATGCCTGGGTCCTGATAAGCCAGCCCTGGGCCGGGGTCCGGGGGACGACACCCAGATTGGCAGGGTCACCCTGATGCTGGTGCCAGGCCAGCCTCAGCTCCTTGGGGCTCGCACAGCCTCCCCTGTTTCCTCCTTCCCGGCCCCTAGGGCCCGGTCCATGCTCCACCCCATCCTGGCACCAGCCTCCCCATGCCCCCGGGCTCCCAGAGGGCAGGGTGTAAATGCCTCAGTCTAAGGTGGAGGAAGGTGGGATAGGACACACAGGCTTTGATCTCCGCCCTAGGGGGCTGGGAGTCGGAAGGCCCGCAGCCCTGAAGAAGGCTCCCCCTCACCACCCCTTCCAAGCACGCCTGTTGTATTCCCAAGGTCTCAACACTTGGCTGAATCTCCAATGGCAATGCCAAGGGGAGGCCAGGCCCAGCTACTCTACGAAAGCCCCCTGCCCAGCCCCACCCCTCAGCCTGAGGAGCAGCCCTGGAGGGTCTTGGCCTCACCACAAGTCCCTCCCCTCCTCCCCGCACTGTACTGTGAATGTCCCGTGACTCAGCACAAAGACAGATAATATATTTAATTCATGTTGTACAGAAAAGCTGATTTTGACAGATCGATGCCAAAGATGGAGGATGGAAGGCCCTTCTCCAGGCCTCATGAGTGTGGGTGGAGCCTGCTTGTATATGTATATACATAAAGTGGACAGAGAGTTTGGTTCGTGTGCATCTCTGAACCCACCCTGGGCATGGGAGGGGTGCCCTGCACCCTTCCTGCTGTATTCCGGATGTTGTTGCCTCCAGAGCCGGAAGTCAGCTCTGGGCCTTGTGGGGAGGAGCTGAGGAGGCCTTCGCTCAGGGACGGGGCCTGAGGGGTGGGGCCGCCCAGGAGAGCACAGAGGGAGCCCCGGGGAGGGGTCTGGGAGCCAGCTGCTGTGGCTGCCCCTCTCGTTCCCCCAACCCAACGGCTCCCTGACCTCTTGGGAGGGAAGGAGAGGAGGTTTAAGAGAGGGTTGACGTGGGGGATGGCCAAGGTCAGGGCACAGAAGGAGGGTGCACATGTCACTAATCCAATCCAGCAGCAATTTCTACAGACTTTGAATCCACCTTCTGTTGCCCAGATCGCCTCTTACCTTGGGGGCACACAGCCTCCTTCCTCTCTCCCAAAGCTCTCCACATCCTGCTCTGCTTTCCAGTTCAGTGTCCAGGTTTGCTTTCCCAAGAGCACTGTGAGAATGCCAGGCCCCAAAAGATACCTCCTGACCCTACCTGTCCAGCAGCCTCGGTCCCCACTGGCCTTTCCCTTCACCACGCCCGCTTGGCCTTGGCGGGGGCATTTGTGGTTTGCAATAGCCCGCAGCTGTCTGACAAAAGGTCCTAATCAGTGATGGCTGCAGGGGTGGGCCCTGGGGCTGACTCTCCCCTGCCCCATCCTTCATTTCCTGTGGGTTCCCCGTCATCCTGCCCCTACTGTATGGTCCAGTGGTCGGGGCTGACGTCCCACAGGCCACCACTGCCTTCGCCCTACCGGGCCACCTGGGCCAGCTAAATGGTAGGCCAGACCTCCTTCTTTTTTCCTTGAAGCAACTCAGCCCCTTGCGGCCCATCTTTCCACCTCCATCTGCTTGGAACCCTCCTTCCGGTCTCGACGCTCCACAGCATTCCACCAGCCCTTCGGTCTCTAGAGCAAATCATCAGCACCATGAATTGGTCACAGACTGGTTGGTCCTGTGCTGGGCGCCAGGACACCCAGGTGCATGTGTCCGCCTTCACCTTCCAGGTGCTCAGGCCTGTGGGCAGAAAGGGCCTTTCTTTACCCAGATTTTGGTCAAGCACCCATTGTGTGCCAGGCACTGTGTTGGGCCCTGAGGATGGGGCAGTGAATAAACCAGCAACGTCTCTGCTGTCATAGAGCTTAGAGAGACGTCACCCAAATAACCACAAGGCACATCAAGGGGTCAGCAGTGTGATAAAGCAAAATCAAGCAGGGTCAGGGGAGATGTGATGGCCTGGGGTGGAGGCTCTCTGATAAGATCAGCGGGGAGCAGTGACTTGTGAGGGGGAGCTATGTGCACCCCCAAGGACAGAGCATTCCAGCAAAGGCCCTGAAGGGCGTGTGTGTGTGTGTGTGTGTGTGTGTGTATGAACAAGGAGGAGGCAGGCTGGGGCACCGAGGCCCGGCGGGCTGGTGAGGTCGCCAGGAAGCAAGGAGGAACCGAGGATGCCCCACTCCAGCTCAGATCCATTCGCTCAGATCTGCTGGTGGTGGGGCCAGGCATCAGCAGTTCTGAAAAAGTTCCCCAGATGACCCTAATGTGTAGCCAGGGTTGTGAACCACTCATGTGGGGTCTTGTGGGGCATGAAGGAGTGAAGCTCTGGGTTTCATTGTGAAATGGGAAGTCACTGACCTCTGTTTTCCAGGGCTCAGAGAGGCCCCGTGAGGAGGGTGCTGTGAGAGGGGGAGGGGAAGGACACCCCCACCCTACAGGCCCAAGGAGGGAGCCCAGAGCAAAAGGAGGAGGGGGGAGCCTCTTTCATGCGGGTGCTGTGAGGTGGGGGCTGCCATCACATTTCCCAGGTGAGGTGGCTGAGGCTTTGGGGTGAGCCTGGCCACACTGAGAGTAAGCGGTCTGGTCAGAATTTGAACCCAGGTCTGCCCACCGGAGCAGCACCACGCTCTGTGCCGCACCACCTGCCTCCCAGGTAGATGTGGGCGGCTAGCACGGAGGCTTCACCTCACTTGTCTGCACAGAGGGTACACTTCGGGGATCCTGGAGACTGGGAGCAGCACCGTCGCCCTCCGGCCACCTACAAGCATAGGTGACCATAGACACCAGAGGGTTAGCCGACAGTCACTGCCCCCCCCCCCACCACGCACCCCGTGCCATCCCCCAGCTCCTCCTCCGGACCCTGTGGACCTTCCACCATCCATAAATCGACAGGGCAGCGTAGGGCCCCAGCCGAGTCCTGCTCCTGCGCTCTGGCTACTGCCCTTTCTGATGCTCAGCGCTGGGCTCCAGGGAGGGTCACGCCCTCCTCGGACAGAAGGGCACCTCCTCAGACACCTGCCCATCAGCCCTTTCTCCTCTCCCTTCCTCCCTTCTTAGGACCTCTCTCTGCCCTTTTCCCTCTACCACCCCCGCTTCCTGCCCCTGCCCTCCTTCCTCTTCCTGGTGGGGGGAGTACTTACACCTGGGGAGCAGCCATCAGCCCTGGCCTCCTCCCTAAGGAACAAGATTCTGCAGCCTCCCCGAGCCTCCAACCCCTGAGAAGTTCTCTGGGTGCCAAGTGTCATCCTGTCTCTCACCCTCATGGGTTTTCTGGTGAGGCCAACACAGGGCATGGGGTGCCGTGGCCGCGGCTGTGTGGGCAGGCAGGCTTCAGCCGGAAAGTGGCACACGCGTGGCTCTGCCCTCCCGGCTGCAGTCAGCGCTCCTCCCTGCTTGGAGCTCCCAGCCCCGTCCCCATCTTCCTGACTCCTCCTTCCCTCATTCCTTATTCATCTGAGGGCTCCTGACTCTGTGCCAGGCTGTTCCCAGTACCCGGGATACAAACTTGACCCTGGCTTAGACTCTACTTGGGGGAGCTCAGAGTCTCAAAGTCAGTTAGGATGTGGTCTTGGCTTCCTCTCACGAGATCTCAGTTACTTGGGGGAAGGGGAGTTGTCTTTTAGTCCTTTTAAAATTTACCAAGATCTTTTTTTTTTTTCCTTTTACATTTCAGAGACAACAAAACCTTTTTATGCCATCCACGTTTTCCCTGGAGGAGGAGTCCACTGGGCCCTGGGTTCTCGAGGAGGAGTCTCGCATACCCAGGGCTCCAAAATACGTGGACCTGGATTCAAATCCCACCTCTGCTGCTTGCAAGCTGGGTCACCTCGGGCATGTTCCTTAACCTCTCTGCGTCTCAGTTTCCTTCTCTGTAAAACAGAGATAGCAGCAACACCCTTTTTCTCAGGATTGCGAGGATTCATGCAAGGGGCTGGGCACCGAGTGCTCGTTAAATGGTAGCATGGATGCACTGCACACACACACCCCCTTCTCCGATCGGAGGAATTCCAGCTCCTTCCCTCCCCCAGGGATCCCAGTCCTGGCATTAAAACTGGGCACTTTTTCTTTTCTTGCTTTCTTGACCCTTGATAAGATCTCAGTCATTAGTAAGAATGTATTAAGCACATTCTACCTAAAAGATTTTGCAAGACTTTTAGAAGATGACCTCAACCCAGTGTTTTGTCTCCATGGAGATTTAAATGTAGCTGGGGAAGTCATCATGGAAGAGAGTCTACAACAAAAGCATTGGGTCAAGGTGTCACTCAAAGTGGGTCAGCTGCCTTTGGAAGTAGTGAGTGCTCTGTCTCTAGAAGCACTGAGGCAGACGCTGCGGCAGCACCCATTGGGAATCCCAGGGACATGCACTGTCTCTGCTCAGTCTGACCAGCTTACAGAGGAAGGCGCTATCTTGGGGTCGGCCAGATCTGTACCTGGTCTGACTGTAT